AAAGAAAATATGCAACAGATTGTGTTGTTACAACATTTTTATGATATTCATTTTACAAGATTGCTACAAGAGTGACATCGGGGTACACATTCTAAAATTAACCTCAATATTTGAATAAATATTCTCATTGGGCATTTACAAACATTTAAGCAAAGCAATAAACCTCTTAAGAAAAATCAAATATTCTACACAAACAAGAACAAAACCCTAATCGCAAATGCTAGCAATTTAAATATTTAAAAATCTATAAAGTCGAGGCGAACTCAGTAATAGGAGATAAAGCAGAAGAAAGCGAAAAGACGCCGACAGGAAAAATGAAAATGAATAATTTATCACATTACCAACACCACTTCCACCACATGGAAATGCTAAAATGACTCTGACTCATTTCCATTATGAACTCAAGAAATCGAAAAAAAAAACGAGGAGAACAGGAAAAGACAAGGTGGCAAGGAAATTCGTCTTGAAATAGAAGGTTTGCCATACACACACACACAACGTAAAAACTGATACTAAACTAAACGCTAAGGAACATCATTCACCTGAGACAGTTAATATATTTTACACTGCCACCACCTGAACTACAAAAATTATCTCGTTTATATTCTGCTGTAGTCAATTGGGGTTGAGTGAGAGCCAGAGAAGTAACTGTAAAACCACTTGTTACATTTTTTGTTGTTGTTTTTTATTTTACTAGGAATTTATTCTGAAATAAATTAGAAAATACCATAATGAGGTCAAGGACTATGATGGTTGGGATAGAGGGATATTTCGCTAAACGTATTAAATTCATGGTATAGAATATATAAATATAATTATGCTGATGAATATAGGTCAACAATGTAAACAGTCTCATTGTGGTTTTATGGTTATTAAAGAATAAAAGTGGATGCAGATTTCTGGAGAAGAATTTCCATAGTACTTGGAGGCAATTAAAAATTAGCTTTGTCGAATATTTAGAGGTAAAAACATCTCGTGTTACAGTATTTATTTGGTCGTTCAAGAAAATAAGGACAAAAAAGAATCGGTATATAAGGAGGATAAGTTTTATAAAAATATTTTTAAGTCGATTAAAAATGTTACTGATTTTCAACAGGTGGGCAAATGGACGTGCATTACATTGAAGACTTGTAAATTTGTATAAAATCACTTGAAGGCGTAAAGGATACGAAAACCGCATATGGTCGGAGGTTCAGGAATTACAAAGGTTTTATTATTCAATAAGGTATATGTTTATATCAATTCGCTTCAAATTAAATTTAAAGTTTATAAAATATTGACCCTTTGTTGGGGAGGTACCAGATGTAGGACTTGCTCCAGGCTTGGTAAAGATAATAGGTTGTGCAAAGTTTGGTTCAAATCGGGTATTGTATGCGCCTGATATTGGATTTATAAATATTGCCATTTTTGAGGGAGGTACCAGCAGGAATGGACTTATGAATCTCACTTTCGGATTTAATCTAGGCTTGGTAAAAATTATAGGTTGCACAAAGTTTGGTTCAAATCGGACTTTCTTTTTGCTAATATTGGGATCGGACATGATCAAGGCTTAGTAAATATAAATTCGTCTAATAATAGATTTGCAAAGATTGAACATTTTGAACAATTGTGTGGGAGGAGTGAGCAATGGATCCCATCTTCGGACTTGATCTAGACTTGGTAAAAATAATACTTTCCACAAAGATTAATTCAGATCGGATAGTCCGTTCGATTGATATTATAAAATTAATTTTTAGCACAATTTTGACCATTTTATAGGGGAGGTACCAGAAGGAGTGGAACGATATTCCCCAACTACGAACTTTAAGTAAATTTGAAAGAAATATTACGATATGCAAAGTTTAGCTTAAATTGGTTACTGCCTTCGAGAGTTATCATGCGCACCAGCCGGCCAGACAGACGGAGGACCGACAGTGGTAATTCGACTTAAAATTGTCTGAAACGGATTTCGTCCAAAGAAACATGGGGTCTAAACGCACAATTTAGATTAACTACATTTTTACCGTATCCAAGTGTAAACACCTCCTTAAGCATAAGGCTGAGGATACAAAAAGACCCATAAGGACTCGAGATAGAAGGATGTATGTTTAACAATATTTTTAGTCGATTAAACTAAGAAAATACAATCTCAAAAATAACCTGCGAAAAAAGTACAAAGGTTTTTCATCATTGAAAAACTGGGCAAGCAAATTATCAGACCTTGTATATGGGGGTTATTTAATGGACAACATATAGATCATTTTCTGGGAAAAAGGTTTTATTACCAAGTACTACGGAAAGCTAAAATAATTATATACCCAAATCGGGGCTTGAAACTATATAGAAAGTTTCTGCAAAAATGTATTTCACTCTCCACATTTATATATGAGCTACGTAAAATATGGAATATGTTTGTCGAAAATGTTATGTACAAATGTTTTAACCCTCCAGGAATCCGGATTGCCAATATTGCGACTAAAGCCTTTAAAGTAGCCTAAAATGGGAATATGTCCAATCTACGTTGATAATTTACTGTATGTCAGTTAGGACATGTTATAGAATAAATTCTATGCACATCTTTCCAGTACAACTTAAAATATTTTAGCTGTAGCTAAAAGTGTTGAAGAAACAATGACTGGGGTCTTAAGGAATATACAGTTCATTTATGACAACATGTTGGTCCCTGAAATGCATACAAATGAATCTGAATTCTAAAGGGAGCTATATCGAAAATATTCTTCAATGATTTTTTTACCTTCCAACGACCCACAATGCCAAATTACAGACCTTTCGAATGGATGGTGCGCTAAAACCTTCAAAACACCATAAATGCGACGGTCGTTTATCTGAGTGGTTATGAAACGAACATGTAATTATTGAAACCTCTAATCTAAATATGATAGTGATATATTGAAAATTGTCACCTAAAATACAGTTCTTGATCCAAGACCCCAAAATAATTTGTAATTCAGGATTCTTGGATCGAGAACCACTTTGATGGGGAAACCTTCAAACCACCGCCAATAAAGCGGATCCGGTGTATGAGAACTATGTCGAAAATACTCTCCAGAGATTTTTCTTACTGCTCTTTCGGTTGGATAATGCTGCTAAAACCTCCAATATACCATAAATTGAACGGCTATCAGACCATTCAGTTATATTGAACCCTAAACCTAAAACCCTCCTAAAACCTTCAAAATACCATAAATTTTGTCAGAACCTTTAGCTGGGGGCTATGACAAGTTATATTGAGCATAGCCTCGTGATACATCATTAGCCGCATGTCACGTCGGTGAATAGGTTCTGCTAAAAACTTCATAAAATCAACGGAGGTCATAATATGGATGATATGACTAAACATGGACGTATTAACAATTTCCCACTATTGTATTTTTTACCAACTAATAACCGGAAATGCCTCATTATATTCTTTCGATTGTAAAATGTTCCAGATCGGATCATTTTTTTCTGATGCTCCCATTAAACTATTCTCCCCGATTTTCGATATTTTGAGGATTTTTGACACGTTTTTCAGCCGAATTGGATGTAGTTTTATATTTTGGATTGTCACTGCCTGCAGGTCTCTTTATCAAAATCGTTTTAATATTGGTCAAGTTTAAAAGTATCGCCAAATTTCCGTATGTTGAGGATTTTTAACACGTTTTACGATAATTGGGAACGTTGGGTTCTTATATAGTACTAAATCTTCTTGCTTAATATTATCAATATTGTTTCAATATTTTGGGTAACCCCCATTTTGGCAATTTTTATACTTTTTACAGGCAGATATCAGCCAGAGTGGCAGGTAATGGTAGACCAAATTTAGTTTTTGGTCGTTCCTTCTGCCATTAACAAGTAATTAATTTCTTTTAATTATATTAACAATTTATATAAACAATTATACATAATACGATGTGAGTAATTTGTCAAAAATTTCCATCAAAGCTGTTGCTGCCAAAAAATGTTAAAATCAAAAGAGGATAACTGAATAACTATTGGCAATCAAATAAAAGTGAAATAGAAATCCGAGTCAGGAAAGTGTCTGTAATCGATGGGATGAAAAACGAAATTCCGAATTTTATTCGTACTACTGTGAAGTGGGACATATTGTGCGGATCCTTTATTATTATAATTAGGAGGTATGCCAATAAAATGTCTCTAAGCTGAACATTTCAAAATTACAGACCCTTCGGTTGAAAAATCCGTTAAAAAGCTTTAATATGTCGAAAATAGGGGATACATTGTATGAGGACATCACGAAGGCGTTGCCCGATAAGTTTCATTTACAATACCAAACCACCTAGAATAGTGATGTGATTTCGTTCGTAACTTCAAAATAAAGACAGACCGACGGACATTCAGTTTTATATTAACTTTATGAAGTCTCCGACAACTATTTGGAGAATTTGCAGAGTGACAAGTGTGACAAAATCAGTGATAATAATCTGATCTGAATAATCCCGATCTGACCCTCAGGAGAAGAAACCAAATTTTGTAAAGCAGATACTAAATCTTACTTCAAAATCGTATCGAGAATTACATTCTCGCACTTTCAGATTTAATGGTTTTGGTTACAATTTGCCACAGAATTGGCTGTACATCAGTATTTTGGTTTCTGAGCATGCTCAAACCTTCTAGAAGAAAATCTCAATGTAGACCCACACCCAGATAAACTATTTACTTAGCGAAATATGTCATATAATACCCGATGAAATTCTAAGTACATTCAATCAATTTTAAACTGCCCTCCCACTTTTCTATTTTGTCTATTGATCCATTTTGGCTTTTATTAGCCACACTTTTTTGCAATAATATTTTGGTCTGGCCATCCATAATAAATGTCACTCTCTGGTTAATTTTATTTACCACGACAAAGTTGTTCTTTTTTCTGCCTTCATATTTTCCTAACATAAATGCCAATAAAATTCTACAAGAAAACTTGTGTGTTAGGCGATCAAAGAAGAACGAACACCATTGTGTATATGGCCAACTACTAGCTAACATTCTTTGAACTAACTTACCTGCCAAGTGACAATCAATTCACTTTCGCCACCAGTCTGCACCTGGACATTGGATGGCGCTTCGGTGGGTGCTTCCTCTTGGGTCTTCAAGACAATTGGCTCGGTAAAGGGACTGCGTTCAATTTCATTGATGGCCTGCATGCGTATCAGAAAGGTAGTGGCTGGTGTCAAGCCCGATACAATGGCACTTTCACGTAAGTCGCTGTCATAGCTGTCAACACGAAAATATTATGTAATAAAAATTGGAAAGAAGTAGGAAAAGACATGATAAAAATTAGATATGTCAAGAAAACAAAATGGACATCTAAGAGAGTGCAGAATAAAAAATGAACGAACAATAACTTCACCTTTTACTTATACTGGTCGATGGCAATGTTACATTTATTATATTCGGTCCATTCCAATCACTGCCGGCCAAACCCAGTGCCGTATGAGATTGTAGATATTTCAATGGTTGATATTGCACCAAATAGGAGAGTACGGGTGAATTGCCATCGAACGGACGACGCCATGATAATTTTACTGTTCTTGAACCAACTTCAAATACCTCCAGATTTGAGGGGGTGTCCGGGCGCTCTTGCACCGCCAAATAGATAATTTGCTCCGCCCGGCCATATGGATTCTCAGCGACACATTTATAAATGCCCGAATCGTGACGATCCGAACGTGATATGGTCAGTTGCGAGTCAACACCCTTTTCGGTTTTCATTTCCGCTATGCTAAAGCGGAAATTATTCAAATCAATGCGTGCATTGTTGTGAGTCCAGGCGACACTAATGGGTTCATCACCTTTGGCATGACAGTCGAGTGTGACAGCATCATTACGTCGCGACGAGACGTTGCGTGATGTTTGTTCGAAACGTGCAGGTTCTGTGTTCAGTTGCGAATCCCGAATCGATGCCACAATGGATGGGGTGTTGAGGTCATCGAGTGAAAAGTGTTGTTTGTTGTTATGTATGTCAGTAGGAGTAGTAGTTGGTGTTGTTGTTGTCACCGTTGTCGTTGTATGACATGTTAGTACAGTGAATTTTGTTGTTGTTTAATTAACAAGAAACGCACACACACGTACGGACACAGAGAGGGACGCATACGCATCACCACCACCACAAGTAGATATAAAACCACAGCAAAACGTAGTCCAAACATAGAAGTGAAGAGAAAGGGGGAGGGAGAGGAAATACGTAAGCAAATTACAAAATATTCAAAATTCAATGGATATGTAGTTGTATTGTGTGTCTCTGTCACTACAAGGTAGGCTGCCAGCCAGCCAGCCTCGCATTCTGAGTGACTGGCACGTGTATTCTCATTCATTGATGTCACAGGGCCACAAAATACTCACCGTTGACATTGATGCGTATAATTTTCTTAAGACCAGCTCCAATATCATTCGTAGCCTGACACATATAGTAACCCTCGTCAATGTCGGTCGCCAAGTTGAGTACCAGCGAATGGTTGCGCATATTTAAAGGTTTGAAATCTGTATTCAATTTACCTGAAAGGAAAAAAGAGAAAGAAAACAATAGGAGGCACACATAAAAAATAAGTATGAATAAATCGGAATAACATTTTCGAGAAAAATGTAAAGCCATGAATGTAATTTCACATTTTTATGTTTGTTCGCTTTCAATTTACTCTAAATTTTTAATACCCTTTTCAAAGGATACAAATAAGTAAATTGCAATGCGTTGATTTCAATTTGAAGCTGGCAGTTGGTATTCTATTTTCAACAGCATGAAATTTAATGGAAAAATTTTTTAGAATAAATATCTTGGAATTAAAAATAAGTATAGATAGAGGCCCTCAGCGTATGATATCGTAAACCTGACTTATGTGGGCGAGGTACCCGAGATTATGGACCTAGAGATCCGATAGTCCCACTAAATATACGGTTAGAATAAATATTAAGGTCTGCTATGATGACATAACATAGCAGACCTTAATATTTATACTAACCAGGATTCACCATTCGATTCATATTATATAGGGGAGAGCAGGCCAAAGTGGTTTACGCGGATAAAGAACAAGATTGCCATATATGTGGTAGCGGGTCGGAAAAAATTTAAACCAAGATTTTATGAGCGCTGTTCAAAGGTGCCCCCGTTCAAAAGGTGCCCCCTCTCCCCTACATATTGTTACTAAATCGGATACTCCATTCACTGCATATGAAATTTACATATTATCAAAATGTTGACACTTTGTGGGAGAAGTACCAGAAGGTGAAAACCTATTTACTTCATATTCAGACTTAATCTAGGTCTAGTACTATGATTTTCCGTTCGCTTCATATGACATTTAAAAGGTACTAAAAGGACTGGACCGATAAATCCAAATATTATACATGCTTAGTTAAAATATTGACTTGTGCAAAGGTTGGTTCATATAATATTCTAATGTTAAACATATTTACAGCTAAATTTTTAACATTTTATGGGGAGGGTGCCAGAATGTGTGAAACGACATTCCCCACCATCGAACTTAATTTAAATTTGGAAGAAATATTTTGATGTGAAAAGTTTGGATGAAATCGTTTAATTCCTCGCAGAGTCAACCCCACAGTCAGACATTTGTAAATGGACTCCCAATGTTTTTAAGTACAATTTCCAATCTGAAGGTCCCGATTAGCTATTTCAAGTGTCCAGAGTATAAAAGACCTATGACAGATATCATTCTGTGTAGGAAAATATTATGTGTTTTGTTTTTGCAAAAAAGTCAGGCGAAATTCCAGTTTGTTATTTTTATAAAAAAAACTATTAATTTATGGGGAATGTATGGCATTGTTCGCCGAGGGGTAAGGCAGGGAAGACTATAGTTTCGGATCTCGCCATTGATCCTCATCAGTTCCTTTAGTTTTTTGTTGGGATATTTTCCCCCTAGAAACTATATTTTGCTCTTTACAAAAAACCTTTCATACCCAAATGTCTCTTGTAATAAAGCGAAGTACTTAGCTGACCAACGAAATAAACTGCATGAGAATTTCGCTGGTGCCTCACTTCGAGGTTAACAAGGCATTTACAAACAATACCATACTATTCCCATTGTTGTGTGCTGAAGTTAGACAGCAGCAAAATTCTCATGCAATTTATTTCGTTGGTCAGCTAACCATGTCATACATTCCCACAAATAAATAGTTGTTTTTTTATAAAAACAACAAACTGGGATTCATCCACATGGTTTCACGGGATTAGGTCACTAGGTTTATATTACAGGATCTCGGTGGTCGAAACAGGAGCTGTTCTTTTTATATTTACCCAAAAATTGGGTATAAACTCATTAACTGCCGAACCACTAGACATAGGCGGTCAAAATTTGGCTCAGATGGTTTTTTATCAATAAAATACTGGTATGGGAAATGGGGTCCCTGTGAAGTGGTTCAGCAGTTAATGAGTTTATACCCAATTTTTGGGTAAATACTCAAAATAGGGGTACCGTTGTATGGGGGCTACCAGTAAACGTGGACCTACATACATAAATTTTAGTATGGACATTTGGTAGCCAAAAAGAACACTCTGTGCCAAATTTTCGGGTAAATACTCAAAATAGGAATACCTTTGTATGGGGGCTACCAGTAAACGTGGACCTACATACATAAATTTTTCCATGGATATTTGATACCTAAAAAGAACACTCTGTGTCAAATTACAGCCGTGTGTCAAATTTTGGCCGCCGATGTCAAGTGGTAAATACCCGAGTTTTTACCCAAAAATTGGGTAAAAACTCGGGTATTTACCCTCGTCTTTAAAGTATCGTAAAACTATCCATTCTAAATCGAGTTGATAACAGAAACCCGGAAATAGGGTGTAAGATGTTGTATTACCGATTCAATATAGTAAATACCCAAATAAATACCCGCAAATGGGTATTTACCCATCCCTTGGGTATTTACCCGGTAAATACCATCTCTACCTATTCCGTTATAAATTCTATCATGTTTAAGAGCACAAACAAAATTAATACAACTTAAAAATATTTATACGGTGAAAATGTTCCTCATCGAAATATTGGTTTTAGACCCAATGTTTCTTTGGACCAAATCCGTTTCAGAAAATTTGGAATCGATTTACACATGTACGTCCGTTGTCCGTCTGTCTGTCTGGTGCGCACGATAACTCTCGAAGGTAATAATCGATTTCATCCAAACTTTGCACATCTTAATATTTCTTCCAAACTTAGTTTATGTTCGAAGATGTGGAATATCGGTCCACTCATTCTGGTACCTCCCCCACAAAATTGTCAAAATTGTGCTAAAATTAATTTTTTATTACATGTAAACGGACTATCCGATTTTAACGAAACTTTCGTGATATTCCTTACCAAGCCTAGCTTAAGTTGAAAGATGGGACCCATTGGTACCTCTCCCACAGAGCGTCAACATTTTCAATATTTATAAACCAAACTTTGCATGACCTGTACAAAGCCTAGATCAAGTTCGAAGGTGAGATCGATTGATCCACTCCTTCTGGTACCTTCCACACATATGGTCTACATTTTTAATATTTATGAATCCAATATCAGGCGAATGAAATGTCCGATTTGAACCAGTCTTTGCACAACCTATTATCACAACCAAGTCCGAAGATGGGACCCATTGGTCCACTCCTTCTGGTACCTCCCAAACAAATGGTCAACATTTTCAATATTTATAAATCCAATATTAGGCGAATGGAATGACCGATTTGAACCAAATTTTCCACAACCTGTTATCTTTACCAAGCATAGCTCAGATTTGGAAGTTAGACATAAATATTTACAGTCGTCTATGTATTCTGAAGTTATTAACTGACCATTTACCAAACTAGACGAAAATGGAAATTTTACATGAAGTTTCGGTTGGGTTCAATTTAGTGATCAGATGGTGTATAGGGGATGAAATGACTGTCTAGAGAACATACTCATAATTCGAACATGACAAATTTTACATGGGGAAGGGGTTCTGGTGTACTATTGAGAATGGCTGTTCAGATTGTGATCGATCAATATTTGAATCTTATGATTTAAATGTTCAGGTAAGAAGGATGAGTTGCTGACCTCTAATTGGTCAAGTAACGAAAAAAAATGTTCTTGCTCTGAATATAGATCCGCAGAAAGTTATACTTTAGTGGTGCTTGTGTAGGATATCATATCGAGTTTTTTTCACGTTACGTTTTTTTTTTTTTTTTTGCGAATATGGCTCGATATGACCGACCCCGTCTGACTATACTGCTCCGCTCAAGAACCCGGAATGTGAAATTACGTTGGAAAATGTTTCAAATTAGTTTATATGGAGGCTCTACCAAAGTGGGAGAATTCCATATCCAACGTTCCAGAAGTCTTATCGATGTATTTATACAATTTTCGTATTCAATTGGGATTTTAACAGACTGACCACATCTCTAAATGGATATCGAATTTGTTTTTATTTTTATTCTATTTATGCATTTTGTCAAATAATGGGATTTCCCTTGAATAGTTGTCATAGGGAATGTTGAGAGGCAAATAGCTTTTGTGAACGATTAAATAGTTCACATCTGTGTATTATTGTCCGAAAAGGTCACTACGACCTAAAATGTTCGAGCGTTGCGAACGGTTTGGTAATTTTAGTAAGTTGTGGGGGAGATACGAAAAGTAATGAGCCGAAGTACAAATTTACCAATCATTGACACTTTGTAGGGTAGGTATCAGAAAAAGTTGACTCATTGACCCCATCTTTAGATTTGTTCTAAGTCTGGTAAAAATATTACGGACATTCCGATCGCTTTATACGAGATTTTTAAGTTTTTGTGGGGTAGCATTAGAAGGAGTGAATCGATATTTTCATCTTCGAAATGAATCTATGTTTAAAAGTGTTATAGTGTTACAAACGGACTGACGTATTTAAATAGACTCCAAACTGTCTGAAACGGATTTAGTCCAAAGAAGCTTGGGCTCTAAACCGCATATTTCGATGGAAACACACTTATATTGTCGCAAAGTGTTTATACCCTTATTAGCCATAAGGCTGATGAACAAGCATTGCACCCTGACAACCCCATAATTTAATAATTAGCTAATAGCTAAAGTAACATATTCTAAGGAGGTCAATTATATAAATGATGAACTATTGTAATTTCAACCCATAAAGCCAAAAATGTAGCGGATGGGAATTATATGATTATGTAGAGAAATATACATGGAACGGTAATTCATAATAGCAAAAAAGTAAAATAGTATCATCTCATACCTAGCCAATATGACAATAAATAATAATTTTTAAATATAAACGAAATAAATAATTACCGACATTTATATTGTTTGCCTTAAGATAAATTAAGAGCATTAACGTATTGATTTAAATAATTTATTCGCCCATTTCCTTAATTTTATCCCCCATTTATTTTAGCATCCATAAATAAAACCCTCTTTGATTCGTTTAATTAAACATTAATGAGATTTTCTTCTCATCTGCCAGAAAAAACCCCTATCCTCACAACAACAACAACTTCCGCCATCATCATCATCGTCGTTACAACTATTTGA